ATCAAGGAGTCCGTAAACCGTCGAAAGACATTAATGGAATAAACGTATTAACGTAACGTACCCATTTTATACGACGGGTTTCTATAAACTGGACATAATTTTTTCTGACATTCATTTTTTCCTCATACTGCTGCATTCACCATAATAAAGAAAGAAAGTAGTAATAAAGAAATAAAGAAATAAAAATAAACAAAAACACGAGAGATGAAATAAATGTGCATAAATATTAAAATTAAAATAATGCAATAGTGAAAAAACATGACATACCGAGACGAAGCGGTTCCATCGCCTTCGGATAAAGTGCGGCTATTCCTAGTGCTGTTCCATGTCGAACCGCACGTGGCAATGCCGTTATTCCACCAGCTCCTTTTGCCGTCGCCTTTACATCGACCCGTCCCAAAAGTCCAGCAACTATCATCGGAGCCAAGAGGATTTCCCTGGAATGAGGTGTATCGGGCGAATCCTATCAATAAATCTTCCAAAACTATTTTGATAAGTTAATCCTCAAACAACAACGTAATGATCGAAAATTGTGAATTTGAAGTTTTTCCATGATTAGTGCACAATACCAAAAATATCATCTATTTGTTGCCATGTTCAAATTCACAATGAAGCTAGAGGGAATAACCAGATTTCCAATGATGGTATAGACCAAGAAGATGATGAAGAAAAAGAAAAATAATTCTCGACGTTGCTCCACTCTCTCCAAATGCGCTATTCATTCGCTTTCAAATCGGCTGGAATTTGGGTGTCCCCCAAGAGGCCCGTCGCGCGGCGAAGGAAGAGACGCAGACGCGGCAAAGGACGAGTCGCAGCGCATACTGTAGCGGTTAGGCGTCAGGTTAAATAGAGTGTACCATACTACGTCTCATATCGCACAGCACGCGCTGCGACTCGTCCTTTGCCGCATCTGCGTCTCTTCCTTCGCCGCGCGGCCTGGGGGACACCCCTGAAATTTGGATGCATATTATGTGTTGTCAATGAATTTAACCTCAATAAAGCGAACCCGGATCAGGATCAACCGACTCGTTCGTACGTTTTGTGTGCGCGAAACGGTGATCGCTGAGCCTCTATCAAATGGCGATAACCGATCAAGATACCCGCGACTCGTTGGTACGGTTTTGTGTACGCGAGACGGTGACCACATGAGGGCAAAGATAGCGCAGAGCTCGGAAACTTAGGTCGATTTCAGTTCTATGGCCTGATTCCTCCCGAGCCAACAGAATCTCTTACATTCCGTGTTAGCTTATTAAGCGAGCATCTTGCTCGAGAAGACACGATTAAGTGTGAACTATTGTGTGTTCAAAAACTCGCGTAGTTAATCGACCTCAGCCTAAAATTAAAAGTAGCTGCTCCCATGATAGAGGCGCGTGTCTGCCAAGAGTATATGGGTTCCGCCAGCCTGGTGCAGCATTTCAGAACGCGGGCGGTAAGACGCTAGGCGCTAAGGATTTTGATCCAATCCCAAAAGTGGGAATCGGAGCCCACACACTGTTCGATACCTCCAAAAAAGTCAGGACCGGGACTGTTCGATATCCATATGCGTTGCAATGTAAATCCGCTATGCTCTCTCTACTCGAACTTCCTTACCCTCTCCCAAACTCACATTCTCTCTCCTTCATGTCTATCTCTTGAAGGTCTTCGTAGCGTAGAGCAAGGGATGCTTGTATTTCCTGTGTTTCTGACGATTTTCTTTCCCCTTTTTTGTCGCACACTATATAGTCACTGGCCCATCCTCACTTTTCATGTTCGAGTGATACCACATCAATTGGATACGTGATCCTGTCTTAAGTCACACATCGGCTCCAATGAGTTCCATGAGGGTTTACCCAAAAGTCGTAGCGCGACAACACATAATTTCATTAGAGGCTAACAAATTTGTCTCTTGACATTTACCGGGAACAACGTGGAGGGGGTACGATAAAACTGCTGTTTGCGAAACAGTTGCTGTACTATTTGGTGAAGACATGTGTCACTAGCGTGTGGCCTAATAGTCCGAAAGCTCGCTGAAATAAGATGTGCTTAATTCCAAGTGCTCGGTAGGTGTTCTTTTTAATCTCTTCGATAGCTCAATAGCACTGCACTACAGGTGCACTTTCGTTTTATAACGTCTCATAGCTCACTCTCACGCCGACACATGCCTGGCTGATACATTGGCGCAAACAGCTTTTTTCTTCTGCTAATAGCAACTGCAATATAACATGGATTCATCTTATGTTTAACGTAGAGCTTTAAACTGCAAAGTTATCCTGGTGTTCGGCCTTGTTGACACATAAATGTGGTGAATTATCCAGGAGCGCACTCTTTTAAACGTTTAGTGAGAAGTTTTCCATCACATTCATATTCCACAGCCACGTGCGTCCGTAATGCACACTCAGCATCAGTGACGTGAGTCAGAGCATCGAAGACCACGCGTAACATTGATTTTTTTCAAGACCATCACGAATGTGCCCCAGTGATTGTGCAGAATATGACATCACACGAGACACCTGCCCTTAAGAAATTAATAATACCCATTATTTTTGAAGTTGTTGAATATTCTATGCTGTAAGGTATGGTGCTAAGCTTGTATTGCAGGCCCACCTAGCTGCAGGGTACAAAGAAGACTTGTACGTTTCATAGTTTCATTGTGTCTTACGAGGTTGTTAAGTGGAACATTTATTCAACAGGCCTAACGTTTCGACTGAATCGTCGTCTTCAGAGGCCTGAACGTGTTTCAAGCGTTAGACTTACGCTCTACACCACCAAGCGCCTCATCAACTCTAGCGGTTTCGACATCGTGTCAGAAACCCCTCGAGAAGATCAGAACAGCGCGAGAAATAAACTCACCGACGGTTCCACCTGAGGAGGGGTCGTTGCCACACAAGAGCGTTAGTCACCTACAACTGGCAAGGAAAGGCTCCAGGTCGCCATGGCCATTCAAGAGAGATGTATACCCTAGATGTGCCTTTGAACGCTGATCTCAAATCTACCTTCCAAATCTGCTAAACGATTCTCTGAACGGAGTTATGAAGCAAAACAGCGCAACGGTAGTGGTCGGGACTCACAGTCAAAACGTCGTAGGATCGGTCCCTTATCGTGTTTACTGTTTTCCATTCTTCAGGAATACAGCTAAACGGCTTTTAATAGCCTATTTAACTGAATTCCTGAAGAATGCAAAACAGTAATTACGATAAGGGACCGATCCTACGACGTTTTGACTGTGAGTCCCGACCACTACCGTTGCGCTGTTTTGCTTCATAACTCCGTTCAGAGAATCGTTTAGCAGATTTGGAAGGTAGATTTGAGATCAGCGTTCAAAGGCACATCTAGGCGTATACATCTCTTCTTGAATGGCCATGGCGACCTGGGAGCCTTTCCGGAACGAAATGCTGAATCCTCATGTCGATTAGAGGAACTACAGAACGCACATAATGAAGCTTTCCCAGACTTTTTCAACGGTTCGGGAAAGTTCTCGACATCTCAAGATGGATCCTCGCACGTTATGTGTTCATCTGTGTTAACCAGTTGTGAAAAAGATCTGATATATCACTTAGGCTTCTTACGGTAAAGGTGCAGGGTTCACGTGGTCTACAAAACAATTTAGACCCTTAGCTTGTACAGCTCAATCGGAGACACGTTTCACTCCTCAGGAATGACCTACCCT